ATATGAAGACTATATATATTTTATATTGTCCAAATATATTTATATTAGGTATTCGGTGTGTCGCCCTTCTATGCGATTCTCAAGCACTCAAGTAAGATCCACAGTATTATTAAGTTGTCTCAGCAATCTTTTAATAGAAAATAATGGCGCATCGCAGTTTAACTAAATGGTTTATTATCTTTTTAGAAACTATGTCAATTATATATAATATATATAAATCCTATATAACCTTAAAGTCACACACTTTACTAAATTCTACTATACAAGAAATCATAATATTTTATTCTTACAATCATATTTTTGCTTGATATTCAAATCATGTTATTAAAAAATTCTAAGAAAATATTCAATTTTTCGACTTGGACTTGAGTTTATAACATATGAACTTGCTTTTACACTGAGCTAAAATATAAAAGGGACTTCCAGGTTTCTCTTAAGGCTTGAAAATGAACAAATTTTTCAATATAATCTTCTAGTCTTGAATAGGTACATTGGCTTTTCGCACATTTTTTATTTTATTTATTTATTAATATTAAATGTGTTAATTTAATCGAAAAAAAAGTAAGACACATTTTATTTCTCCAATCAAAATAGCTATTGAGAAAGTTCTGATATGTTGCAAAGTTAATGAGAAAATAGGCATACCTTTGTCATTTTAGAGTATTGCTAATGCTTTCGTCTGCTCTTGGCTTTATCAATGTTGTCAGCTGATAAGGCAGATAGTTGGCCTAACAAATCAGACATAGCCGTAGCGGCAACCTCGTACTCCACCTATCTAGCACTCTCTCTCTCTCTCTCTCTCTCTCGCTCCCTCTCTTTCGCTGTGTGTCGCCCTACAATCTCCCTTTCTCACTCTGGTCTGCTCCGTTTGGCTTCAGTATTTCTCCGCGCTGCGATTTATTGCATAACGCGTGCGATATATGTTAAAAAAAAAAGGGCGGGAAAAAAAGTCCAGTCGCGGCAAAGTAAACAATAAGTTTATGGTTCTTTGGAACCGTCTCAGAAAAAAATAAAAACTATATATATATAGGGGTGCCAGGCGGGGCGGGGCTACGACGACCTGCAGCTGCAATACGCAAATGGAAATCGAAATCGTTGCGTAGCAAACGAAATAATTTTGCATTAATTGATTCGTTCGGTTCGGCGCAGTTGGCAAAGTTTTCGAGGGCCCCGAAACACGTGAAGGGCATACGGCTAGCCTATAACCTTTTGATATCTAGTTTCGGTCTTCCAATACTATCGATTGGCCACAAAAGAAACCCGTTTCGCAGCCTCAGTTAAATTTGGTTGCGTTTTTGCTTTTGTTACTTTTTGCTCAACTTGATGAGCTGGTTAAGAGGTTGACAAAAGATTTACCAAAAAGAGTTGACAAGTTTGTGGCACACACACACGCACACACACAATCTGGCTTTATCTGGGTGATAGAGCAATCGAGGCATGAAGTCATGCGTGGTCGGATGAATTCTTATCTGCGGATTGGACATAGATCTTGAATCGTGCTCGTGACTAACTACAAAATTAGCCAGCTGATTAATCAATTATATAGGTTAAATAGAGGGCGGCTTAAGTATAGACTATACAGTTAAAAATATTCTCAAATAATGCTTATTCATTGCTTGAAGAGCTTGTCCCGACTGCTTGACTAAATCGGCGAGCTGAGCACGAAGTTCGGGGGTTCGAACTTTCTCTATACATAGATATGTCTTGGGGCAAATTTAGATGACTTGATAAAAATCTGAACTTCGCTTGCGTAACAAAACAACATCAAAACCCCTTTAATTTGCTACATTATTCATTTGAGCCGGGCAATGCCGGGCAATTTCTTGTAGCAAACAATATTTTAAGATCTTCCGACATGTTACTTTCACTGAAAAGTAGAATTGAGCATTGGGAAATAAGTTTGAACGCTGTAGGAAATTGATTTTTGATAATATTTAAGAATTTGTTCTTGATTTGGATGGAAACAAGTCGAAAAAAGGTTGTCAGGCATTGCTCAAATCCAATATACTCCTTTTCCCATTGTCAATAGGGTATAAAAATGTCTAAATTTCTGTCTAAGTTCTGAAAAAGTCAAAAACCCTAAAAAAAAGTTTCAAATACTTTACCAAGAATATACATAAGTTCTTCATTTGTGCCAAAAAATCTTATTTTAAGTAGATACTGGACCTACGAAAAACCTACTTCAGACATCTTTTGGGTTTATAGACCCATATACTAGTTAAATGCATAAACCTATCTTTTACCAGAATACAAACTTATTCTTAGTATAACCCGAGAAAAGGATTAAAAAAAGTCGCAAGTGCACTTAAAGTAATCCAGCTTGTGCTTAAAACCTCACAAAACGATCTCGAATCAAGTATTTTGTCATTTAAAAAACCTACTTGAACCAAGTACCTTTGTACTCAAACCAAGTACGAACGAAATGGGCCAGATTTTGAGATCGTTTGTACTTAATTTGAGTAGAAAATACTTGATTTATTTTCCGAGTGTACTCATTTATATATATATATATGTACTATATGCATTTGCCTATGGACTTTAAGTTAATCAACTTTCGAGCCAGTTGTTTTTACCGACCTATTTTTTGTTAGTTCTACCAAGTTTCATGCGAGTAATTTCCCCTTCTTAAAATGTCCCATAAATCATTAATGAGCAACCGCAGAGTTTCCTTACGCTTGGATGGCATTTATGGATTGGGTTTTTTTCTTGCTTCTGGTGCTGAACAAAAGTCAATTTCCCGCAGCGATCGACGGCAACAAATTCCAGCTAATTGTCAACAGGTCGGATGACTAACCAACTCGGAAGTCTGTGTCTCTGAGCCAGAACCAATTATGGCTTAAAGCAATGCGCCGAAATGGTTTTAACTGATTTGCGATTCAGCTCATATCCCGGCTCCTGCCCATAAGCACTTGACCCCCTCCCCACCATCTCCCTGCTGTTACCAAGTGGGGCGAGGGGGCGGGGCCGAAAAAAAAACATTCCCACGAATCGATAATGACATTTAATAATGTTTTAATAACCGAAACGATAAAAATTTACTTAGGCGCGCACATGGCCCATGGGTCGATAGCAGGGGGAAGGGGGGGGGGGGGGGTAGCTTGGGAGAGACGAAGCAGGAAGAGCTACCCCCCCACCCCCTGCTGTCGACGCTTTTGGGCCCTGGCCCTTGGTGGGTTGTGTTTTCGGTGCTCTTATCAGCTGCTTTATCGGCGCGCGCGCCATGGAATTTTTGAATAATTTTGCACTGTTTGTTTACGGCGCAAGGGCGAGGGAGGTGGGCAGAGCGAGGGGGTGGCAACGACAGAGAGAAGATGGGGGCCCACATGTCCGAAAGTTGCCACACTGTTGCAAATGAAGCGGCCGGCGCTGGCAAAACAGAACGAACGCGCTGCAACGACGGGGGAGGGGCGGGGGGTGTATATGACTAGTTAGTGAGGGGGAGGGGGGGGGGTCTGTTGGGTAGACAAGAGTGCTGCTTCTTCTTGTTTTTTTACTTACTTGTCAAGCGCGCGCTATGACAACAAAAAATCAGTTGTTCTCGCTCGCGCTCAAGCGTGCTGCTCGCACGCTCTTCCTCGCACTTCTTCTTCTTGTTTTTTTTGGCGCTCTCTCGCGCTCTCGCTCTCTTTGCCAACTAACTGGCAACTCCTCTAATTGGCCGGACTGGCTGTGCAAAAACAAAAGTTGAATAATTTCGCGCTGTCGTTGGGCTTTGTTGTTACTTAATTAAAATATGTACGTTTATATGTGCATTAAATTATGATGGCTCTGTTATGGCTGAATATATGTATATACTATATGCACGTGCATATATATATATATTTTTTTGGCGCTTTTTTCTCTTGTTGTTGCTTTACGACTTGTTAGCGCCCAGCTGCTGTCAAGCTTTTCGTTTTGTTGTTTTGTTTGTTCTGAGCTCGCTCGTATGTAGCTTTTCTTGTTGTTGTTGTTGTTATTGTTTTTGGTTCTTTTTTACTGCGTCTTCTTTACCGCGTACGCGCTAAAAACTTGTCAGCCGTTTTATATTTTGTTGTGTGGCGACTGATAAAACCAGATTTTATTTTGCGTTCTGCTTGTTTCTTTTTTAATACGAAAATTGATTTCTAATTTCAGTTTTGAGCGCTGCTGCTGCTGTTGTTGTTGTTGTTGTTCGCGCCAGTTGGGAATTTGTTAATGGCCGCGCGCAAAAGATTTTTGTGCTGCTGCTGCTTCTTCTTCTCTAAGTTATTGTTGTTGTTTGCTCACTTACACACACGCACGCGCGCACACACACACATACACACACGCGCGCGCTTTGCTCGCGTTTATTGTTTTAACGCACAACTACGACGTTTTTTTTTGCGCTCAGCTGCTTGGGCACAATTTTTTGGTTGCTTTTTTTTTTTTTTTGTATTTCGTTACCAATACGAAATGAAAAACTTTTGTTGCGCCTTTGACCTCTTTTCACACGGACGTTGACTGCGGCAGTGGCAGAGGCAGCAACGACACTTTAAATAGCTGTGTATTTGTATGTTGTTTTGACTGCGTTTTCCAATTGGGATACACGAGCATTTCCGATTGGGTTAGCGGGATTACAGCACGCGGCTGATTTGTTGGGGTTGGTTGCGGCGGCCCGTGCCCGAAGCCGATATTTGACCGTTATTGTATTGCATTTCCTTGTTGATATAAATTGATGTATGTGGGTACATAGGTATGTACATTTAGCTAATGCTCCGATTTGGTTTTTTGTTTTTCACCAACAACAGGCCAAAGCACACATGCACACGTACACGTATATGTACACACACGCACGCACACAAAGGCAGGCGCTTTCATTTGTATTATGTACACACACGTATTATGTATGTTATTTTCGTTGCACCGCACTCGCACAAACTTATCATAACGATTCGACTGCTGCTGCTGCTGTCGTTTCTTCTTCTTCGTTCATCTTCGTCGTCGCGTTTTTTTTTTTTTTTTGTAATATTAATTTTATTTTTGTAGTGTCGTTATTATTGGGCACTTTGCGTTTAACTGGCACGTTTTCAATTGTTGTTAACGCGCCATTCAACTGCGCATAGTTATCGCTGCGTTTTTCAACAAAATTTATCGCATTTGTTTTGTTATTTTCACTTTTTTCTTATTAGATTTCTGGTTTAGCAGCAGTGACTAAGAATACACTAAAATTGGTCAAGCGCGTGGAACGGAACTGGTTTGCCACGGAGCTGATTCGGCAGGCTGTCAAATGTTCCCGCTAGATGGCGTCTCCGAAATGCGTCACAGCGCTCAACAGTGGCGCAACTGTGCGGCGTGCGTTCAACAGTTGAATTATCAAATAAATGGCTTCGAGTTTCGTTTTGCGAGCCAAGTGTGTTTATAATAAATAAAAGAAAGACAAAAGTGGATGATACAAATATATTAAGAACAAAATAGGTAAGTGCAGCTTACAGCTATATTTATGCATGTGTAGATTTGAAGCGCATCTCTATTTAAGCTTAGATTCGATGGCACGCATCAACACACACTCACACATGCACACAATTTGCATGTGTGTGTGTGTGTCTGTGCATGTGCTCGTACGCCTGTTTCCTTTTCCGTTAACATTTTGTGTCTGGTTTCCGGCATTTTTGTGCGCCGTTTAAAATTGTTTCCTTAGATACAAATCTCTGGCAGCAACAAATTTCGTTTTACAGACATTTGAATGCCAATTGCAAGCAAATTGCCGCCTGCGGCACCAACATTTAAGTTCTGCGCCCTTTGCCCCCTGCCCGCCCTGCCCCTTGCCCCGGAATAGAGCCAACAATAACAACAATTTCTAGTTTTGAGTTTTCGAGAGCGAGTCAAAGAAATTGCCAGCGAGCAAATTGAAAATGTGACCACGTTTGCCAGATGGCCTGTCTATTTAACTGGGGCATGGACATGGACCATGCTCACAAATAATATTTCTACGTGGCCAGCTTTGAATTAATTAAATGAAACGCATAAATTGCTGGGCGCAAGTTAAGAAAGCAGTTAACCAAACTAAAAGTAAACAAAGTTGGCTAAGGACAACTTCAAGAAGGGCTCTATTAAAAGTCCGCACAAACTATACATATATAACATATATTTATCTGTGCCTAGTTTCGCTACTTGCTGTATTAATTAAGTTAATCGATGTGTCGGTTAATATTTAAATAATGTGTTGTACACATCCACGAACCTTTTATTGAACTGCAATTACATTTTTGCATGTTTTTTTAATGAAAATCGCATAGAAAGGCGATGTTGAAAGATGGAGTTAGTAAGAGAGTGTGAGAGAGAGAGATACAATACAGAGAGAGAGAGAGAGAGAGAGGTGGGAGAAAGAGATACCAACAGACAGAAAGAGAGAGAGAAAGAGAGAGAGAGATAGATAGAGAAAGAGTGAGAGAGAGGAGAGAGAGAGAACAAGGGAGAGAGGGAACTAGGAGAAGATAGAAAGAGAACAAGGAAAAGAGAGAGAGAGATAGTGATATAGAGAATGAGAGAGAGAGAGAGAGAGAGCGAGAGCACACTAATTCGTATATAAACACTTTAAATATACAAACAGAAAAAATTAAGAAAATGATATAATTTATTTTTTTGTTTTCAGTTTTTTTATAGTAAAATATTCAATATATTTCCTACTATTTTTTTTCTATTTCCTCAAGCTCCATTAAATCAACTTTCCCCTATTCATGTTAAAATAAATCTTATTTTAAGTGCAGAAAAGTGCTTAAATCAAATACCTTATATGGGGCTTTAGAAGATTGTAATTTACCTCAGATTTGCCAGCTTTGAGGCACGCTTACTTGACATTCGATGGATTTATTAAACATTTAATGTCGCAATTCTTGACAAGCTTTTGAGGCATAACACTTTTTAACAAAACCATTTTGTGACTACCCCAAAGACAGCTACAACAATTCTGCCTTGGGTTATTTGGTTGGTTGTGCCATTAAATTAGTGGAACATTTCACATTTAACGCATATTAATTTCCAACTACCTTATCACGAGAAGCTTTTCCAGCTGCACATCTCATTTGGCGCGTTTTTATACCCGAAACCCATTAAAAATGGCTATAAGGGTATATTGTATTTGTGCTAAATCCAAATGTATGTAACAGGCAGAAGGAAGCATCTCCGACCCCATAAAGTATATTTATTCTTGATCAGCATCAAAAGCCGAGTCGATCTAGCCATGTCCGTCTGTCTGTCCGTCCGTCCGTCCGTCTGTCCACATGTAGGAACGCAAGGATCTCAGAACCTATAAGAGCTAAAGACTTGAAATTTAAGATGTAGGTGCTCCTAGTTCCCGCGCAGATCGAGTTTGTTTCCGATAATCGATAACATACTCCGTTTCCAAGCAATCGATAAAAATCGATATCGATATCCTGTTTTTTGGGCACTTTTGGTAAACAATAAGAGCAAGAGTCACCAAACTGGACATATAGCTTCTAAAATAGAATATATATATATGCATTTGATGTTGGAAGAAGAGGGTTCAGGGTATCCCCTAGTCGGGAGCTCACGACTAGAGCCTCTTACTTGTTATTTGTTGTTGCCCCGGCGGCACATTGAGTTGTTATCAGTGTCGCTTGTTATCATTTGATATCATCGCCGATGCGCTGAACGGGGGTGAGGGTTGGCGTGGGGGAAGGCGTGGCACTACCACAAGCAATTGATATTGCGTCGCGATTGCCTCTTGCATTGATTTCTTGAATTTCAATCAAAGTTCAACATGCCATGGATTTTTTTCCGCTCTGATTGTATATTATTTTTTTTTTATTACTAATATTCCTTTTATTTCGTTTTGGTTATGGGGAATGTTGTTTTTTTATTTCTGCTGCCATTCAACGTTGCGTTCAGTCGAGCGTCGGCATTTTGGGCACTAACAATTAAAAGTAACGGCAGTTGACGCTACATTTAACGGTATGTGCATCCATATATACGAATTTGAGTGTGACTGTGTGTGTGTGTGTGTGCCTTTGTGCCTGTGTCTGTGTGATGAACTCTTAATAAAGAGATAGCCAGCTGTAAAATTAAATTTTATGTTGCAAAAAAAGAAACAACAATAAAAAAATGGCACACACACCTGTCCTTAAGCTTTCAGTTCATTAATAGCGGGATTGCATGCGGCAACAACTATAAAAACAACTGCAAAAGGTACTTCACAAGAGCGAAGCACAAACAGTGCAAGGCTCGAGGCAGCTTGACTGGGTGATACCCTGTACTTTGTTTTGGACATTCGTGTTTACACACAAGCTTAAAAATAAAAATAACAGCTTACTTGAGTTTATGAAAATCGCAGAGAAAGGCGTTAATTAAAGGCGGGATAAAACTAGTTCCAGTGAGGATTATAAAGTCAATGTGAGCGGGCATAGTGATAGTTTTTTTTTTAATATCTCGGTTAATATTGTCTGATCTTAGAATGTTATACCTTTTTCAATTCGTACGGATTCCTACTTTCTATTTGCATTCAAACAAATCAAAAATCGATGGCCTAAAAAAAGTTGTTGAACAAAGATCGATACGTTTGTAAAGTCAACCTTTTATGATGATTTTATTGAATATCTCGGCCAAATAATGTCCGATTTTGGAATGATATACCATTTTTGACTCGTAAGGATCAATACTATCGATTGGCATTCAAAAATTGAAAATCTAAATTTTGACCAAAATCGACCAAAACAGCAAGGGGTTACATCACGTTTTTTGTCAAAATCGAGGTCGCGGTGCTAACTATAGAAAAGCAGGGAGATAGAGAAAGAGGGAGATAGAAAAGCGCGAGAGAGAGAGGAAGAAGAGAAAGCGTCAGGTTATAAAAGTGTGATTTCACATGAGTAAGAGATCATTAACAAGGACAGATAGTCTGTACTTTAATCAAAACTGAAAATTGTATCGAAATCATGTAAGCATTACCTGAACTTATGAAAATCGCATAGAAGGGCGATTCGATGATGTGCAACAGAGCATTGCAAACACAAACCTTTTAGCCCCTTTCAACGGACATAGGGTAGAACAAAAAATAAAATCGATTTAAAAATTGGAAAATCTTTTTCGCCTCCTAAACGCTTTCATCTGCGTGTTCTCAAAAAGTTTTCATTAGGGCTACGATTGGGTTTGTTGTCGGGCTGCAATTGAATGTTGCAGGTGGAATTGAATTGAATACGGCTTGAAGAACTCATTTGCATTCCCAATCAAAATAGTGTTGAGCGGAATCGTTGCGCTTTTGTCTTTTGGCCCTCGAAAATCTGCTCTTGCTCTTATTCGGGCCTTCAGCTCGTTATCGTCTTGGCAACAACAACGACAATTTCTTGTTGCTTGTTTGTTTGCCAGGCCGCAGAGACAGCAAACAGCAGAAGCAGACAGACAATTGGTTGGGGGGGGGGGGGGGGGGTGACAGGAGGGTAGACGGAGTAGACGGGGTAGATAGGGTGCTGGAACTGTTTCTGTCTGCATTTGTTGTCAACGACAGGCGAGCACTTTAGTTGTGCACATTAAACGTAGCTGCCGTGCATGCCACGCCCTCGCCCCCGCCCCAACCTAGCCCACTTTTGTTATTCTTGTGTGTGTGTGTGTGTGTGTGTGTGTGTGTGTGTGTGTATTTTTTCTTATGAAATTTTCGAGTGAATTGCTCGTTTATTCATTAAATTACAAAGGAGCAAGCGAGCGAACAATGCAATTTGCCATAGCTAGAGCACGGGCACGCCCCCATCAGCCCGCCCCAGCCCACTTCAGTGTCCCTCCAGCCCATCCGACCCCCCCCCCCCCCCCCCCCCCCCCCGCATGTTCGACATTTGCGAGTAGCAATTGCAAATGAAATTGAAGTTTTACTCTTGCGCTGCTCTTAAGCCGCTTAATTGCTGCCAAATACTCCAACCCTCCAAACTGCTGAATGCCTCATAAATCTTCAAAAAGTGCTCCTCCATTGTGGCTGCAAAATATGGCTCCTACGCAGAGCTGATGAAGCGAGGCGTTAATAAGCCCCTAGACAAGTGCTGAGCACAAATTTGCTGCAACAAGATGGTTTGTTCGGGGCAAAGGATGCTGTTGTCATAGCTGCAAATATGCAAATTTTCGATATATATCAAGGCTGAAAGAGCCTAAGTTTTTGTTATATGTATATACTCAGTACCCAGTCGAACGGGAAGAAGGCTTTAACTCTAGTAGAACTCCAGATAATGGCAAATTACTTGATGATAGGGCTCTCGCAACGCTATCCGTAGAATTATCTTTTTTGTGTGCATCGTTAATTATCGATAGCTGACCTTGATTTATTGTTATCGATAAATGTTCAATGTTGGCTTTACGATTATAACTGCTTGAGATAGATTCTTATCGACAATTATCGATAGCGAACCCAATCCACTGGTTATCGATAAATGCCGAGAATCGACCTCTTGATGCACCTCTTGATGTCTATAGTAGCTAGAGAAAACAACATTGGTTCTTATCGATTATTATCGATAGCTTAGCTTTTTCATAATTTATTGATCAATTATACCTGATTTGATATGTGCATCTATATGTCCACGGTTCTGGCTACTGCAAGAAAGTTGACGTATTTGTTCTTATCGATAATTATCGATAGCTTATCTCGATTGTCGAAATCGCTTATTTTGCCCATAATAACACATAATTTGGCTAAAGTAAAAGCATATACAGATTGAAAATATTTAAATTTATAGATACTTCCACTGTAATTTTCGATAAATTTTCCAAAGCCGCGCAACCAAGTTCAAGTCTTTCTTTATATAAAAATAAGGACATTTCTCAGTTCTAGCAATGTAAAATAAAAGTGAAGCGACTTCTTTTTAAGGTGTCAAGAGCACAATACACACTGAAAGGGGCAATGCCAAGTTTCTTATTATGTGGATTGTTTGTTAATGCGCCAGCCAATTGAATGGAGCCCATCAGCAGCTGGACTTTATTATATTAAGAAACGGAAAGAACTCTTTTAACTGTGCTGCTTTTTTTCCAGCTGGACATTATCATGACGAATACCTTGTGGACGTGGCGCTCTGTGCTGCTGCTCGGAGCTCTACTCTTTGCCACAGCGAATGCCGCGGGTGCCGCTTCGAGTGCCTCATTAGCAGGCAGAAGGGAGTCCGGGCTGCCGGCTCAAAGTGTGCTGGCCCTGGTGCCGGCAGCAGGTAAGCACCTGCTTCTCCTTTTTTTTATGCGCGCGCGTTGTAATTAAGCTTGTTTATCACGCATACGCACCGTGGCACGTCACTTGGCTAGCCCGCAAAAGGGGGGTGCGTGAGTGGAGGATGGTGGGGGAGGGGGGGGGGGGGGATTGTCAACGAATGCGCAATTGGTCTTTCGTTCGCTGCATTTAGTTGCAGCAGTTTAGTTTTTGTGGGTCGCCACAGCTATCAAAGAACAAAAATAGAGAAAAACCCCAAAAATAACTCAAGTGTCACTCGCGCATTCCATGAGAGCGAGCTGCAGAGCAGCAGAGAGCTCGGCACAGTGAAGACTGGCTACAAGTGACGGCAGCTGACATGTTTCAGATAACTTGACACAGTTGAGAAAAGAGCGTAAACTTCAAGAAAATATTATTAATTAAGCGAGTTAGTAAGGGCATCTTCGGCATGCCAAAGTTTGAAATACCTTTTAAGATAGACAGATGGATAGACGGACTTGGCTATATAGTCGGTTGTTGATGCTGATCTAGAGTATATATATAATATATATACCTTACCAAAACTTGCCATTTACGCGCTTAGCTTTGCTTGCCGTCTATATATTATTAAATCTTCTCAGCTATGAACTACTATATAGTATAAATTTATTGGAGAACGATTCTTCTTTCATGAATTCAATGTTTTTCAAAGCATCTTCAACAATCTCAGCATTAACGAGCTTCACTTATATTATTGTAGCTGCTTTAGCTGTAATCGTTTGTGAAATATTGTTGTTGACTGACGGACTTAGCTAGTGTTCACTGTGCTCCTTTAGATCGCCGTTTGCATTGTGCGTCGTTTTCAACTATTTTTAAGCATTCGTCTCATGCGCTGCGGTTGCCAGCAGCACTTGACAATTGCTGTATCCGCTTGCCGCCTCTTGTTGTCCTCGCTGTTGTTGTTGTTGTCCTCGCTGTTGTTGTTGTTATTGTTGTCTCTGTTGTTGTTGTTGTTGTCGCTGTTGTTGTCTCGCCCACATCCGCTTAAAGCTGCTGCCTTTGCCCGGCTTCCGTTGCAGCATTTTGATGTCACACTCATTCATTTGTCACGCATCACAGTTGCTGCTGTTGCGGGCTTGTTTACAGCTGTTGTTGTTGTTGTTGTTGCTGCGGCTCAAGAGTGCGAGTCCGAGTTTATTCTTGGCATCATTAAGCGTCGCTGATAACACTTAACATAGTTATGCGCGCATATGGCAGCGGCATGTGGCACATGCTCTGCTCGGCTTGGCTCGGCTAAATGCCAGCCAGTTGCCATTCACAAAAAGAAAATGTAAATTTCAAGTGGTCACGTGATGCTGCAACATTTCAACAACAACAGTGAGAGAGGGAGGGGTAGGGAGAGGGGGACATAAACTAGCAGAGACTCAACAACTTTCGCTTTGGCTTTTCGCAAGTTGTTCGCTTTTTGTTTTCGCTTTCGCAGCTGTCTGACATTTTGGGTCAGTTGTCTCATTTATTTGGCGCTTCTCAACTTTGAATGTGATTTATTGCGCGGCAGCAAAAACACAAACAGAGAGGAGGGAGGAGAGGAGGGGGCGGGGTTTGGCGCCTGCGAAAGTTTTTAAGCGTTGAACACGGCGTATGATTAACGTCAACGAGTCGTATGCAAAATACGAGCTGCAAGTTGAAAACTGATTTTCCAACTGCAACAAAAGTATAAAAATAATTCAAATAACTGCGCGCGTCGACAATTGGAAAAGCTGTTAATGTCCAATTATGAATAAATGCGCCGGAAAATGCGTGCAGCTCAAATGGACTCGGCTGGAAAAGTAGTTTTCTCTTCATGCCAAAGAAAGTGTAGGGAAAAAATGGGCATATTCTTTGAAAGTAAAAATGTGGAATTGCGGAAAATGCAGGAAGACTAATTGGGATTACTTTAAAACAATTAGGGAGACGCGAGGAAAAGCAGCAATGTATGCAGCCCTAATTGACTGGGCTGGACAACTAGTTTTAGGATTGGAAAGTACTCAAAGAAAATAAAAAGGCCATTATTGCTGATCAAGAATATATATACTTTATGGTACTTCCAAAAGTCCCAGGCAGACAGGTTAAAGTTTCCCAACCTCATACCTCGGTTAAACCCCATTCCACGGGCAAGGTCGGGGTATTCCCGCTAGTACTTAATAATTTACATTGCAAATACTTACGAGTTTTTTTTTGTATAAAAGCTTGGAAAACAATCGTTTTTTAAAGCCTACCTTCTTCTCATCAACTGCAAATAGGACTAAATTTTGCGTATCCTTGACTATCCTTTTGATTTGGCCATAACGAAAATCCTTTGGCAATTGCAATTGATTTTTCATTTACCTTTTCTTTTCTTTTGCGTATCTTTGGATTATCAAACAATTTGATTTCCGTGTCCATGAGAGTACGAGAACTGCCTGTCTGGGTTTATTTTTGCTTTGCCCGGTTTTTTTTTTTGTCTTCCTTGATGCCATCACAGGGCGTATATCCGGAGCGTTCCGTTGATTGCCAGCTCGGCATCAATAGTTGTTTAATGCGAGTGGAAGGCAATGCCAGTTCGCCTTTTGTTTGGCCATCAAAGTCAGAGCAAGTCGCCTAATGACTGCAATTTGATACGCTTATCAATGATTCATTTGGCAATCACCTGAAAGCGCACTATAAGCCTGCGGACTACAGAGTTGGCTGCTCATTATTATAGCAATTGCATTTGACAGACACAAAGCAGCTGGTTAAACTCAAACTCAAATAAAATAAAGGCGCAGTCTGAACGAGCTCTGCCCAAGAGCTGGGCACAGACAGCGCTTAGATTTAAGACTTATCGAAATTGAATTTCTTGTTTAGCAGACACTTAAAAGCCAAGTTCACTTTTTCTCCTCTTCCTTTTTTTTGCCCCGGCCGTAGCACGCGGCAGTTTTCTGCTCTACCAATTAGCAACGGCCATAAATTCTGGTGACTACCCCTGGCTGGAGCTGGAGTTGGAGCAGGAGCACGAGCAGGAGTTACTTGTAGAACAGGAAATCGACTCCGGCTGGCTGGCCGCAATGGCAAATGAATTTCAGGTATGAGCCACTTAAATCCATATCGAGCACAGATAAACCCCGACCCTCGCGTCGCTCTGTCCGAAAAAAGAAAATAAAACATAAATCACGCGCTTTTTTCTTGTTGCTGCCACACACTTTTAAGGCATTTTAAACTTTTTTCCGGCTCAGATGTCTGTCAGTGCACTGGGTTCACGAGCACGTGACCACGTGCTGGACACGCTTCACTAGCCAGAATTCCATTTCCAAAGGACCAGTTGGTCGTTGGTCGTGAGCTCAGTGCATTCAGTGGAACAGCACCATATTTGAGTTGGGAAATTTACGCGGTGCTTTTCTGTTGCACTATATATTGTGGTATATGCAGTATATGAATCGGTTGATATTTGTGATTGGGGGAAGAAAGCGAGAGAGAGCTAGAGAAAGAGAGAGAAAAAGAACAAGAAAACGAGTATTACAGGGAGTATATGAGTCTCCTGATCTTTGATAATGGAAAGCGAGAGGAAGCGAAAGCAAGAACAGGTACAGGATAGAGAAAAAAAAGGGAGCTGAAGGAGAGAGAAAATGAGATAGAGAGAAAGAAACAGGGAAAGATAAGAAGAGATAACGGGAGAGGTAATGTTAAGATTGCCAAGCGTCAGAGAGTATGAGAGAAAAAAAATCATAGAAAGAAAGAGATAGAGAGAATGAGAACGGGATACAGAGAAAAGATTGGCAATGTAGAGGGAGAGAGAAAAAGTGAGAGAGAGAGAGAGAGAGATAAGATTGCCCATATCGAGAGAGAGAAAGAGAGAAAAATAGTTAACGTCACTTGTTATTGTAAAATTCAAAACCCTTAAGGCTTATTTGAATTCATGAAAATCGCATAGAAAGGCGGCGTTTAAGCACGTTTCGATCTAATTTGCTGCGCAGCGGCAAAATTGTGTTCGTTAATTAAAATTGTTGTATGCATATAATTAATGCATAAATTCATTTAAATTCCTAATTGCTTTGCCTACATTTTGGCCTATGAAAAAAACAACTATAATTTCATTGTGAGGCTGCAGTAAAAAATAATTTAATTATAATTTTTTGGCAAGCTTCTATTTACAGTTTCAGCAATTAAGCTGCATTAAAAATGGCCTATTAAATTACACAATTCAGTTAGATTTTATTATAGAAACAAATCAACTGGTATCTTGTTTTTATCAATAACAGTAATCGGAGTTATTAATTATTTATTGCGTAATAGCTGCCAGCTATTTTAATCTCCAAGTGCAATCAGCTCAACTGTTTGCCAATGGACAGCAATTTCTCTAATTCTCCATGTGGGCGTGTGCCCAGAAAGTTTCTAATTATGGACGGCACAAATGGATGCGTACGAATGTGGCCTCTGGGCTGCCCGGTTGCCAATCCCTGCCACCGCAGCTGGCTTAAGTCGCTGGAGAGCTGAAGGCTGGACTGTTGTTGCCTTTGCCTTGATTTGCTTTGCTTTGCCTTGTTACTGCTGTTGCACTTGCAACATCGCTTGGTGGCATGTGCTCGTGTCCTCGGGACAGCTGCTTTGAATTTTTAGATTGTCCAAATTCATGCAAATATTTTTGCATAACAACAACAACAGCTTGCCCAAGTGCCTTCGCCTTGGCTAGTTAGTTTTTGTTTTCAACGCTTCTCTGGTCTATTAAATATTCCATATTGATAAGGAAGCGCCTTTGAGACCATTTTATGCACTCCGTGGCGCACACATTTGGCTATTTACTTTTAATTTTCATATTTGACACTTGACGCAGCGTCGGCGTTCCGGATTTTAACTTTGAGTTTGGGCCAATGGAGATGAGCGCGTGTCGTGTTTGGCTGCGTGATTCTCCTTTATAATAAATGAGTAAAGAGTACTCTAGTCGGAAATGTGCGTCTAAAGGATACGCTGAACATTCTTCGAACTACACCAAATGCAAATACCGGACCCACTGCCTCATTCCTAACAGTCCTACCCTACCCCTTTGCACATGTGTACAGAAATTCTTGAAATTCTTATGCCTTTTCAATATAATCTTTAATAGCTTCTGTGTCTCTTAACCGATGACATTTGCAGCAGTTGTGTGCTAAAGAAGTTTCACATATTCTTAAAACCTAAGAGATTTGCTCCAAAACAAGGATTTCGATATGGATTTTTATCGATTACTTTGAAACGGGGCGAGTTATCGATTATCCGAAAAAACTCTTACTGTAAGGGCACAAGGGGCACCTACGTTATTTCAAGCCTCTAAGTCTAATAGGTTCTGAGATCCATGCTACAAATGGACAGTCGGGCGGACGTACGGAAAGACAGACGGAAATGGCTAGATCAGCTCGGCTTTTGATGCTGATCAAGAATAAATATACTTTATGGAATTTGCTTGTCCTTTATTTAAAGTTTTTAATTTAGACAACAAATTAGAAGCTTAAAATTTTTGAGAATTTAATATTAAATTTATTTTTTTATTATTTTCAACATTTTCAAGCCGTAATGCGCGCTCCTCTAGCCGCATTAAACGGTTCCATTGAAACTCTTGAGCTCCGGCTGCATTGTTGGTTGTCTTTAATGTGGCTTGGCGCTTGCCAAATTGCCAAGTTGCTAGTTTGCAGGCACGTCCAAGTCCTTGACTTAAAAAATAAAGAAGAAGTAAAATAGAATATACACTAGGGATTACTTTGCTTAATTCAACTGCAAATGAAAAGTGTTTGTTCGGTAAATTCAATCTTGCCAGCATCTTGTTGACGTTGTCATTACGCCCTGGTCCCGGCCCTGGCGCTGGCTCGGATTCAGCTGCTGGGCTTATGGTTATGGCCGGGTTGGAGAGAGATGTGTCTAAAGCGGCGCCCTCTTCGAGTTCATCAAAGCGTAATCTGCACAAAATGCCGGCATTTCCTGCTTGTCGCACAGGCAAAAAAAAAAAAAAGGGAAAGAAATGGCGCCAACTTTAAGCTAACTATGCGTCCTTGAGCCGCTTCAGGCGTGAGGCCCGCCCCCGCCCCCGCTGCGTGCTTCTAATGGAGTCATAATTCTTCAGCTCGTTAGCAGCAAATACATGCAACGTAAATATGCTTGCCCCAAAATAGAATGCCAGACATTTTTCGTGTGCCACACATTTTTGCATACCCAGCAAATTGTTGAACATATTTTGCGGACTGTATGCGCCTCACAGTTGCCCGCTGGATATGGACGCGCTGGCAGGGCATCTGCCAGTCGTGGCAACTCTTAGATCTGGCAGTGTATTAAGCCTTTTGGACTTTCAGGGCAACGCCCACCGACAAGCTGCTTAATTGAAAAGTGTTTTGTTGGGATTTGGAGCCGGCGGCGTCTGCCACCTGCCCCCACGGCTGCTGATTTGGCAACTTTTGCTTTTGCAGTCAATAATTTGGCCTTGTTTATGCCTTGCCAGCCTTGGCTAACAAATTGTAAAGGGACATCAACAGAAGCCGACAATTTTTCAAGGCTCTTCCTGCCTGCCTGCCTCCTGCTCCGCCCGGCCGCATTCAGTTTCCAGCCCGGGCATCTTTGCTTCCTCGGAGCTTGTGCCTTCGTCGTGCGCTGTCATAAATAATTATGTTATTTTAGATAGCTTGTGCTGCCTCTTGTGTCGCCTTGAAAATTGTTGCAATAATTATCACATTTTTCACGTCGCCATTTTTCATGCACTCAGCGAACGATGCTCAAAAATCTCACTCTGACAGTTTTTTCCCATAATTAAGCAGACACGCCCACACACATACACAGTCTCGTTCTTTATGCTTTATGACAGACATTAGAGCGATAAGCATTTCTTTTCTTTTTTTTTTATGTATTTTTAATTAACTTTCGTGTTGTTTGTATGCCGCATAATCCCATCAAAGCTGCTGCTGCTGCTGGCGCCGCTTGCCGCAACAAATTGGCCAAATCAAAAGGCAGCCAAATCGGGTCTGTTGCTCGTGTTGTCCTTTGTGTGGTCGCCAGTCTCAAGTGTTTGTCTGTCTAATTGGCAATTTTAATTAGCCAGCCAGCGTCGCTTGCCAAAACTGTCCAACTGTCCTTGTCCACTGCACTCTGCATCCGTTCCAGATTCCCGTGTGGCCAATCTGCACAGTTTTGTACGCATCTAATATGAAATCGCTTAAATTCTGTCCTGCAAATTTATAGACTGCAGTTTGTCGACCCGCATCGCGCCAGCCACCACCAGCTTACGGCAAACAGTGCCGCGTCTACCTTCCCGTGATTGTGCTGCCGGCGAAAGTGCAACACTCTCTCAGCCGGCCAGGTGCAGCTCAAGAAGTTTGGCACAGCAAATGCAACTATCAAACTTTAAGCTTTGCCCAAACTTAACGCTTTTTTTTTTGCGATTAAATGATGTCAAATATGCCATATTATTTTGACTCAAAAGCGTCCCAGTTTGTCGTGAATACCCCTACTAAACTCCAGGGTTTTACAAATTTGCCACAAGTTAAGCGATTTTTATGAACAAGTTTGTCAAATGGTTTGGCTTGCAGGTTGATTCTTTCTATAATACTTATAATAAAAAATATGAATAAGAAATATAAATAAACCTTGAAAATAGTCCGATTTTGAAGAATGAGCACAATTTAGGATATGGCTTAGCCTTTAGATTAATGCTGCTCACAAGATCCATGCAAATTGGAAAATTAAATATTTTAGAATATTTCTTTGCAAGAACTTATTTTGGGAAAACATTTTTTTATTTTTGAAACTTATTTGCAATCGATTGTGGTTTAAACTTAAACAAGCTTTTCAAAATAGATTCAGATTCATTTTTGGCTTCTAAAATGTCCATTCTCGAGTAAATGCCCGACTAGAGCCTCATGTTTGTTAGCTCGAGGCGTTAAGTATACGCTTGGAATACTTAAAAAGCCCACCTCGTTTGGCTGCGACTAAAATATGAATGTACTGTATGTACAATATAAAACATGGCTTAAATGCGTTGACACTGTTTGCAACAGCTTTCAATTAAGCTGCTGTCGTTCGCTCGCTTCCCTTTTAATTAGGTGCCGAACTAGCGCATTTTTATCGCCGGTTTCTACTTTCCGCTTTTTAGTTACCTTTTCAGAAGGTGTCCTTATTAATTGCACCTGAAATTGTTGGTAAATAACACATTGCCCATACGCAGCGTTGCACCGGAAATTAATTTCTGTGCCCTTTTAAGATCGAAACAAGAAAAAAACATCAAGCTCTCGAATTCCTTGACAAACCGGTTGCCTGTCATCTTAATGAATGCGCAGATTATTTAATTTGCGCAACATTCTTAACGTTTATTCATTTTATTGCAGAATGTGCCCGTTCCTGAAAACTTTCCGCTGCAATTGCAAGCCTGGCTAATGGATAGCTACGGTCTGAGCGCCGTCGATGTCTATCGGAGCTGGCCCACGGCTCGATCTGGCCGTGCCCGGCAGCTGACCTGCAATGCACTCGACGAGTGCCATGAGTTGGCTCAAATATTGGACGCATGTTGTCCATTTTGAGCAACGCGGCCGTGTGGCAAATAAATGCATTTAAAATCGTTCAGAGTGTATCAAAATGTTGTGCACGGTCACAGTCACAGTCGGGGCGGGCAATGGCCCACAGACAATTATTGATCACCAGAAGCGGAGTTGAGGGTGTCCGCAATGTGACCATTAAATGTTGTTGCTGTGGTTTGCCTCTTGGTCAACTCGTTGTCGCTGTTGCACAGACAAATAATCGAACTCCCAGCTGCTACTGCCAAGTACAGCGACAGTTCTGTGGCGGCCATTTTATACCCTACACTCGGCGAACACAACTGGGGTATGCCACAGTTGCGGGTCTGTTTGTAATAAGTGTAGGAATATATTTTAGTCTTGCTTACAGGGTATTGTGTAGGGTTTATATTAGCCAGGCATGCAAGCTATCATCTGAAACTAGCTTTGTATATAGGGTATTGTGTGGTCTGTCTACTATCTATGCATGAAAGCTATCATGTGAAACAAGTAGGATATGATATAGCATGGGTAACTATGCATGAAGGCTATCAAGAGAAACTAGCTTTCGGTATAGGGTGTTGTGTAGTCTATATACTAATTATGGAAGCTATCATGAGAAACTAGCTTTGCATAGAGGGCACTGTGTAGTCTATATACTAGTCGTTCATATCAGCTTTCTGGTGAAACAGGCATTATATGGGCGCTGCATTAGATTGTTTGATTGTAGCATACTTGCTTAGCATACAGGGTATCACTTGGTCGACCCTATAAGTAGTACTTTATAGCCGTGTTTGTTGAATTTTTTCTGCGTGGCGGCAATCAGTGGCATGAATGTTCAAACGCGTGCAACAAACAAAAAAAACAGAAAGGACAATGGTAAAAGCAACGGCGAAAAATCAACATGCAACAGCCAAAAAGGAACAACAACAACGACAGGCAACATCAGCAGTGGTTGCCGTTTCCCATTAAATGCCCATTAACAATAAATGTGGGTAAAGGATATGCTCGACTGGTAAGTACCAAAGTTTTTATATTTAGAAGTATTTATATGATAAGATAAGATTTTGAAAATAATAATAGTTAAAAAGTGCTGCAGCTAAAATGTTGCTTTTAATAGGGTATCTGTTAGTCGAGCATGGTCAAGCATTGTTTTGCTATGCGTCTGTTTTTTGGCCTTTTGCATACAGATTTGTTTTTGCCATCTTCCGGCACGGAATTGTTTCCCTGCCGAACAATGTGATTTTCAGCGTGAAATTTTATTCAATCTGCATGGACACAGGCCAATGCGCTTCCCACCGCTCCATTGATTCCCCTCTGCACAATTAAAGGCTAGGGTATACCAAAAACTCCAAAAAAAAAAAACATTAAATAGAAACAGGGTATTTTTTGTAATTTGCCATTTATCTGGTTTTTATATAGTTTCTTGTTGAGTGCAAAAAATTTGGATGTTGTTTGTTGAAGTTTTTTGAAATTGCTTTTAATTGAACAAATTGTTTAAACATATTGAACGCACATGTAATTGCTGCAATTGTGTGCATTGTTTATAAAGCGCTTATTAAATATATTTCGTGTATATTAATCATGCTTTATTTACTTTTTTAATTATATATATTTGAACACCTAATGACTATGATTAATTGCTTCGCTTCTATAGAGATTTAATTGATGACACATTTCATTTACCAGCTCTTAAAATAAACTTTATTTATGTGGTTATTATAAATTGTTTGCTTTTTAAATCTTTTGTATGTGGCTAGGCTTGTGTGACTGTATGTATGTATGTATGTTTGTATATATGTGTATGTATGCATATATGTCCAAATGCATGCATGTATAACAAGTGCAAACTAAGCTTAACTTTAGTTGCGTTACAAATTTACTTAGTTTTGTTCCCTTCTCCGCGATTCTCTAAAATTCATGTAGGCCCTACAGGTTTTTATTCTTGGTTAGTAAGAATGGTAGGGTGAAGTGTAACAAAAATATGCATGTATGCATGTACGCATGCATGCATGCATGCATGTACGCATATATATGTATGTATGTATGTATGTATATATATATGTATATATATATGTATGTATGTATGTATGTATGTATGTATGTATGTATGTATATATGTATGTATGTATGAATGTCTGTATGTATATATGGTTAAATATATATATGTGCATGTGTGTATGACGAATGCAAGCCAAGTTTACTTTCCGCTGCTCTACAAACGTATTTATTATTGTACCCTTCTCCACGATTCTCATGACTTCAAGTAGACTCTGCTTTGATGGTAGGTGAAGTGTTAGATAAATAAGTTGTGTATGTGTGTTCGTATGTAATTTTGCCATTATATGTATATATAAGTGTGTCTGTATGTATATATCATATATTTATATCAGTATTTGTTCACGTACGCTTTCTTCTATCGAGCGCAGTACAAGTTTACTTAACCGTAGTCTTCCTCTATCATTTTATTTATATTTATTTCGTCTGGTCTAGCCGCTTTCTGCCTCCTCAGTTATTTGTGTGTTAGTATGTGTGAATGGTTGGGAACTTCAATAAATATTTACATAATATAATACAATAAGAATATGTGTTAAAGCAGCTAAGGGCTGGACAGGGGTTATGCCCCAGGTATTTAATATGTATTTATTTTACTTTTTTCTTATCATTTGATTGATGTACATCATTTGCATTGCTCAATGCACAAATTTGTCAATTATCTTCTTGTTTGAGCGTCATTTTGTATTCAATTAAGTGAGCCGTGAGTTTATTTAACTTTTTTTCTTCTTTTTATTGCTGTCAACCGAACACAAAATGCGTTGATGCATACAAAAAAAAAAAAAGAAAAAGAATGAAAATTGATAAAATAAAAATCATTTGGTTGGCAAGCGATATACATAAATAATTGCCGTATACCTTTTGCAGCTAAAGCAGTTGCCAATTGGTTTTTTCCCCAGTTAATCGAAATGTGCATAAAAGAAAGACATAAAAATTGATAAAGCAGAAAAAAAAAATTGTTTTTGCAGCCGCAAAGAGCCAACAGAAAATTGGTATTTGTATTTGTTTCAAGAATATTGCATACGCTCAAATATTCAATTTATTTAAAAGAGCTGAAAAAAATTATTTGAAAAAGAAGTACAAAATATTATGAATATATAAAAGTCCATTGACCACAAAAATAAATATTTTATAAAGTTTCTTTTGGCATAAGGCGTATTGGTTCGCAGACATAAGGTCAACGAAATGGTTGCTCTGTAGGGTAATTGACAAGAATATTCCTGCAATTTAATTAAGGATCATCAACAATGCATTAAACAAATAAACACAATATAAACATATATATTATGTTGCATATGTTCTTAGTAAATAAACAGATTGTTTTTTAACGTAGCTGGCCGAAAACGTTGTTGCGGGGCTTTAGTTCAAGCTGTAACTAATGCCAATTTGTCTGAGTGCCCGTTTCAGCAACTTACAAAACACGCCTACACCCAACCACCCCACGACCTGTGTGAGATATGTAATGCAATGTAAACGATATTGCTTCACATCAACTGTCAGGCGGCATTAAATAATATTTTGCGCTCAAAACGCGCCCAAAGAACGCTGTTGATGTGCTGGAAGGGGGACCAGAGCTGGGGCTGAGCAGGGGCAGAGCTGGGGCAGAGCTGGGGCAGAGCTGGGGCATAGCTGTGGCAGAGCTGTGGCAAAGCTGATGTGGCAGCATCGTCAGGGACTGTGACATTTTTGACTGCACGCCAGGAGCAAAAAGCCGCACCCTGGCAGCCAGACAGACCCAGAGACACACGGATGTCATGTGCTGTATTATGTAACACATACGGCATATTAACAAACGGCGTATTTAATATTTTAAGCAAACTACATACATTTTCCAGCAGCAGCAGCAGCAGCAGGAGGCTGACAGCCTGGCATTGAAATTGTGCAAGAGCAGTTGCATGTACTCTGACTCTTGCATAAGGCTTGCGAGGTGGGCAGGTGGGCGGGGGGGGCAGTGCTTGTGGAGTTAAGTTCGTGCCATTTTGAAGGTGAATTCAAGAAACTAATGAAATTTCAGTTGACTTCTCTAGACATGACCATGGCCTGTATTTTAAAGCCAAGTGCAATTGCAATTGCTTTTAAGGCATAATCAAAGAAAAAAGGCTGCCCAAAAAAATTCTCTTATTTGTTTGGACATTGAATTTGTGCAATAAGAATCTAGTTTTGATAATGCATACGCTTTTAATTGTTTATATTTTAAAGAATTAAAAGAAGAAGCGCATGCGTGTATGTGTGTATGTGTATGTGGCACAAGGAATATATTCAAAATATCAAGTCTCGAATAGGTTCTGTAAACAACATTCGGAAAGAAGGGCGGAAATGGCTAGATCGACTTTGATGATGATCAAGATTATATATACTTTATGGTGTTGAAAATGCTTTATTCTGCCTGTCACATGTACTCGCACAAAACCCTTATACCCGTTTTACCCATTTTCAATGGGCTTAGGGTATGCAAAATTAAATATGTGTTTTGGTTGTTTAGTTATTTGTTTGGCTTAAGCCTGACTTTAAGGCTTAGGGAATTGATAACGCTTTTTAAGCACATGCAGCCAAAAAAAAAGAGGAACATAATCTAAATGAGTTCTCTACTTTGCTCACCACATTTCTAAGCCCTCTTACATCTGGGGATTAAAAGTATGTCCTTTGATGAGCATAGCATATTTTATGTAATTTAAATTTAAATTGTATATTTTTCTCAGAGCGCAAGTTTATTTCTACTCGCTTTGTTGAATGTACTGCATTATATTCGTTTCTATGTTCTCAAAATGTTTGATTTAGCCAACTTTGGCTTCAACCTTCGAAGCTGAGCTAACAATGGGAATCGGAGGTCCCTTTTGCCATTAGCCATTTACCTGCTGCTGACGTAGACGTGCCCAAAATGCGGGCATCAATAATTTTGGCACTGTTTATTATGCAGATACACAAAATGGCGGACACACACACACACACACACAGACAGATAGACACACACATTCGCACAGGTCTCGAGCTCGTCTTGAGCAAACTAAGCTGACACAGCATAAAGTTTGCCCACACGCAGTCAAGGTGTCCTGGGCGAGGGTCAGCACCAGGGGGCCTGGAGGGGGCTCAGGGGTCAGGGCGGTCTGGGGTCTGCTGGCGGCAACAGTTGCTAGCAATCATCTAGGCTGTTACCTTATTACAACAACAACAACAACAACAACAACAACAACAACAACAATGTAACAAAAACTTTGCCATTACGACAATGGGAGTTATCTGGCTGTAAATACATAATCTGCTGCCCGCTGCAGTTCTTTCGGTGCTACCCAAAGGTGCCTGTGCACCTTGAATGGGGATTTATTTTTATTGCCGCAGCGCTCTTCTTTGGCATTAAGGGTTAAGCAGGTGCTTTATAAGACACGCCGAACCCGAACTGTAACTAAAGGCCAGCCAAATGGGTGTGTCCAAGTGCGTGAACGTCTTTCGGCTTTTGTTTAGCTGCCTGCTGTAAAATTCGCACCTCAAAATGTGTCCCCAAAGTGCAATCAAGAGATTTTTGTCAGTCACTTTGCCACCAGCCCGGGCAAAAGTTTAAGGCACTCCGGACCTTCGCTCTATTATAATTAGTTAAGCGGAGCATTAAATTAGGTGCGAACACTTTTAGTGCAAGCGAATTATTTATTTAACTCGCTTTTGTTTGGGCCGCCTTCAACTGGCATATTTATGCGTGTTAAGGTATTCTCTATAATTTATGACACTTTTTACTTTTCTATTAATTTAATGCATGGTATTTATAAGCTGAAAAGTTTTTGCATGGCTTTTATGAGCTTTGTTTTATGATAAAAAGTGTTTAGCTATATTTTTGCTCAGAGAAACAGTTTTGCAAGTCAGAGTTTTACAAGTTTGTGCTTTGTTTAATTGTGTAGAGAATTTTATATAGGATTGAGGTGTTCTTCGGGGATTATTTGATGGTTTCAACTTCATTACGTCGCAATATTCCAGGGCTGCAGGCTCAGAATAAATATATGGTTGGTTCTTGGCTTACGATTTGACTACCCGTTTTTAGGTTTGCTGTGTGAAGCTGGGATTGATTTTGGCTAAATCCTGCTCAAATATTTTCCTAATTTTTATAAAACAATCTAATCTTGTAAAATATTTATAAAAAAAAACTATATTTTAATTTCCAATTGCCCGATGTGCTGAAAATTTGGCAATATTGCATATTTTCATAAACAAATTGCGGGCTAAATTTGATTTCCACCCCAAATTGGCATCTATCATATGTGATACGATAAATGGGGGCTCTCGGGCTGAGTCGCCATCAAAGGCTTTTTAGTTTATGACCAAAGATAGTTTAGTTTGGCTTTCGATTGAAGTTCTTGTCGCAGGTTCGAACCAGCGAGTACGCACCAGTTCAGCTCAAATCCGAACTGCAGCCTTGACAGAAGAAGTAATGTCCCAGTTGAAATGCAATTTGTATATTGTATCAAATGCTTCTATTTATAATTTCCAAATTGAGCTGCAATCTGAATAGATCACAGCTCAATCGCTTGATTCGCACCCGTTTTGCTGCTGGCCACAAATTATTTTGAATCCAACTGCTTAATCTGAATGTTAACGAAACAATTTGTTCAACATCAACAGCTCTAATACAATAATTCAATAGCGCACAGACGCTTTTACACACACACACACACAATGATTTATATATATATATAGAAAGTTTTTGGGGCAAAGCCCGGTTGACATATTGGAATTCATAACTACACACGAAAACCAATTACAATATCAATTTAAAAGGGATTAAAAAGCATGTCCACGGCTTAGCCAGAACCAGGGCCAACTACCAATGAGTGGGTCGCTGCGGTTGACGTCGACTGCTCGTAATATTTATTTATAAGATTTGCAGATTGTGAATTGTGAATTTTGTATTGTATTTTGGGTTCTTATTTCGGCAAAGTTTAAATGAAATTCTGAGCTAGCAGATTTTCATAATAAATAACGCATTAAAAACCATAATAACAAATATGTTGTATTGAGTCAACACGGCAAATGAATTTCCAACAAGTGGCTGTGTGCTTGTGTTTGCGTGTGTGTGTGTGTTTTTGTGAATTTTTGCATAATTTATTTTGTTTGCCAACAAGCTGATAACCACAATTTTGTGTACAAAAGACCGCAAAGTATTCGCATGCGACTCACAGCCTGAACCCGGGCACTTACAGCCCGGCCATAACGACTGGACTTAACTCGACTCGCCTTTTGTATTTCTCTGTGTGCGTTAGCCCCATTTAATTTGGTTAAGTAAAGTTGCCGATGAGTGCACCAAATTGGAGTAGATATTGCATACTGCAGCAAAGGGCGATGCATTTTGTGGCATGCAACGCATCGCTGTGCCTCAATAAATATAATTGAAATGCTCGACTGAGCAATTTAATTTGTAAATCAGTTGCCCTCGTCAAGCTGGCCCTGACTATCAGTGTATTAAGAGGCTGGCACAGTCTACTTATAAGTATACTAGAAGAATCTATCTGAAACTGTGCCAACTTCAGACATAGACAACCAGATAACAATGCTGATTGTTTTCTTGGCTTTCTTTATATTTGTGCTCCCATTTTTATGCAACAACAAATTTAAAGAATTTTAAATAGCTTCTGGGTTTAAGCCGGCGACTTTCCCTTAGTTTCCCTTATCAAACTGGCCATGTTTATCAGCATAATAGAAGCCTGGTACTTGACTGAGCGCCATGGATATATAGGTAGTTGCCTCCCTTGAATCGGAGATAAAGTCTACTAGAAGAAACTATCTGAAAATAGGCATACTTTAGAGTTAGTCAAAAAGGCTTTGTTTCTTTTTTTTTATCAGGTGTACCCCATTTTTTGCATAACGTTTTGAGCCGGCGACTTCTAGCTTGCTGGTGTGACGTTTACATTTAGGCAACAGCTTCGATCCAGCTACAGGGTAACTGCTAGTCGAGCACTCACTCAACTAGCGCAATCCGGCTTTGACTTGCAAAGTGGTCTCAATTTTGTTAAAGCGGTACGAGATGAAAGTAACGTGGAATAATATCAACTGGCTGAGCTTGTCAAATTAACATTAACTGGCGATTACAATAGCTTTACCTGCCCGTCTTGCTCGACATGCATGCGATAAGGCGGGAGGCGCAACAAGCCAATGACAATTGAAGGGATAACGAGACACACTTTGAGCGGCGCACACACACACACGCCCACGCACAACCAGCAGCAGCTACAACACTCGTTTGCCTTCTTCTTGTTGATAAAGGAAATTAAACAAAAAAAAAAGTTAAGCCCTCCAGACAATTGACGCAGCTTGATGAGATGGAGGGGCAGCAGGAGTGGGGCATCGGACCGGTCAGAGAGCGGGACGTCGAGCGGGAACTGTGGCATTTGTCTGATTGTCTCGTTGACATGACGTTGCGCGATTTGTAAAAGGCTTTTGTTTTTGTTTGGCATCGTCTGCCTGGCTGCCTGGCTGCCTACAAGTGAGCAACACGCGCCAATGATTATGTTGCCGCTGTCAACGACAACAGCAGCAGCAACAGCAGCAACAACAACGAGCAACACGGCACGGAGCACTCCGAAAAGTGGCCAAGTGGCAGCAGCGTGCAACGCTTCGTTTTTATGTTTTTGTTATTGTTGTCGCCTGTCGTTTTCGGTATTAAGTTGGCTTGAAATGCTTGCCACGAAGCTTTTCATTGAGCAAATGTGACGCATGCGCCGCTGCAAGCGCCAGACGAACGGCCAGAATGTGGCAAATGCGATTGCTGGCATTTCCGTTCAGTTCAGTTCGTTGTTGACACTCGTGCTAGCTGGACGTTTGCAGCGGCCACGCGGCGTATGTGTTACATTTGGCGTTCTCTATTTGCCCGTTTTTGTTGTCGCACAATTCGCGTTTATTGGATTTTGGCGCAAGTAGCAAAAAGCCGGTTAAAGTGTTAAGAGCATGTGCTGCTGTGTTGGCGTCTTGTTGTGAGTGTGTGCTGAGGTAGAAGAAATACACTAAGCTACAGCATTCCACCAAAAAAAAAAAAAAAAGAAAGGAAAAAAAGAGAATAATATAAAGAAGAAAAACAAAGCACAAGAAATTCCAAGAAAATTAACTTGGCTCATTCTTGAACTGTTTCTGCGATTGTTGTCGTGCTCGCAACTAGGTTAATTGATGTGTGTGTGAGTGTGAGTGTGTGTGTGTGTGTGTGTGTTTGAGTACATCCATACGAATTATAACAAACCAAATACTATACAAATACAATAAAGTACAGCGTGTGGCACAAGCCCTAATAAACGTGCAACAATGGCCTGCGCGCGAGCACGAGGCACGCGATGAATGCAACAAGGACGCGGACTGCAATACTTAGAGTCAAGCCAACAGAAAACTAAGGTAAATAAATATATAAAAAATAGATTTAATTGAAAATCAAACAATGCGAGAGTTAAGCATTGTGCTTATTTGATAAATCAAGTGAAATATGGCGTGGAATTCAGGAAAATGTGGTTGAAAAAATATAATAATTGGCCTCGCATAAGGCAAAAGTGATTTCCCGATTTTGATATAAATTTTCAAGCAGGTAAAAAGGAAAATTTCTGCAGGTATTTTAAGCGAAACTTTCCAGAGTTTTTGAAAAAAAAAGATCTTCGTATATTTTAACAATAAAATTGATTTGCTTTTGATAATAGGAAATTGAAGAAAAAAATTGAAAACTTCTTCTTGATTTGAGCCAGCATCTTCTCGCTTGGTGGTTCAACGCTTCAGGCTGGCTGCAGGGTAACTGTTAGTCGAGCACTAGTTAAATTTGGCCTTGACTTGCAAAGTGTTCCCAATTTGTATCGCAGCAATATGGACTGAAATATTTTCGAATATTTTAATAATAAAATTTAATTGTATATTTTATGGCGGAGCATTGCATTAATTTTTGGTACATAAATTCTTTCGGTAAATAAATTCGAAATACAATTTTTAAGCATACAAAAAGAATTGTTTATAAAATGTAAATAAATATTTAACAATGCATCATAATGCAACATAAATTGAGGAGCGTGCAAAAATGTAATTAAATCAGATCAAAAAAACAAAATGTCGCTGCAGAGCTTCGCTGTAATTGACTTGGTGCCTCTCTGTATGTGTGTATGTGTGTGTGTTATTTTGTGCCCTAAAATTGTTAATTAAAATTTTTGTTATTCGCTTGCCTCGCTTTAAATTAAGGGTATTCAATGTCGGCTGCCTTTGAGCGAACTGTTTGTTGGTTGTCGGTTGTCGGTTGCTTGTTGTGTGTTATTTTTTGTTTTATTATTTGGCGGAAGCCGCGCGGCAGCATTTATAAAAAGGTTTTTCTTGCTCGCCGGGTTACGTGAGTTACCAACACAAACACACACACACACACACACACACGCACAGCAGCCGCCACAAGCATGGCTCTGCTCTGCATTACCGTTCTTTTTATGACGGAAGTACATTTAAGCAGATTTTTTACTGTTGCCTGCATGTTGCCGCTTGCCGCTTGCCACCCGAACAAAATTTAAATATTTTTGCGCTTTGCCTTTCATTTTCCTGTCTTGCCAGCAACAAATTTATTACCAACCAAATTGCAATGTGTAGCCAAAAAAAAAAAAAAAACAATAAAAAATAAGCAAAGCAAACTTTTAGCCCAAACGCTATAAAAAGGGTTTTCGGCTGCCTAAGCCGAGAAAGTTGTGTGTCGCCTTTACAGGGTATTGCGTCAACGTGAAATTATAATTGTCCATATGCCACGATTCAAGTCAACTGTCAGCGTTTCGCGTTTCATAAAGTTTGACGCACGTTTTTTGAAATTTAATACAATTACCACACACCTAGCGGCAGCTGAGCATGCGAGGGTGTGTGTGTGTGTGTGTTAGTCAAGTGAAAGCTAAGTGAATGTCATAAGCTACCAAAAATTGTACATAAATTGCGAGCGTGTGTGTGTGGTGGTCGCGCAGAGCGACTGCTCAAGCTGCCAGGCGAGTCAATAAATAAAATTTACATGTGACTAGCCTTAAGACTTGTTAATAGAATACACGCTCATGGCAAATGAGTTGGCATATACCCTATTAAAAGAGAACAAGCGGGTAGCTTTTTGTTCAATGTGAAATTTGATAGCGAATTCTGTACACTCTGTAGATAGCTGAACCTGCGACCTAAGAACTTCTGGCTAGTATTTACAGAGTAACTAAATACAGGGTATTACCAGTCAATACTCCCCAAAAAGCTATAAAGAGCATATGAGACTCTACAGAGCCTTACATCAATGTGTACATATTTCTTTTAATTTAATTATATGACTATCCACTATCATCTACACAACCTGCTTTTTGCAGGGTATTTAATGTACCTGTGTTGTCCTTCTTGTTGGATGAGCCACCGATTTGCTGTGACTTATTTTATGCCATGCATAATGATATAATCTGGCAGCGAGATAAAAGAAAACTTGCAGGCACTCATCTCGGGCAGCTTTAAGTACCATTTAGATGGCAATTTAAATTTGCATAGCATTAGCTCGCGCTCGCGCTCGAGCATCTGCTGACATTTATTAAGTGTCTAAGTGAGCTATTCAAAATCAAAGCAGCAGAAAAATCGTCTTCAGACTGCAACAGAGAAGCCGACTCCAACGCCTTATTGTCAGCCAGGCAGCGAGCTGTGTGGCATGCCAGCGCGTTGCAAGTGTGCAAGAGTGCAAGAGTACTGAGTGCAGCTGCAACAATGCGCTGACATTTATGGCACGATATGCCGCCGGCAGCTGGCAGCTGGCAGACAAATGCCTTGAGTGTGCCATACCATGGCAGCCCTCGGGCTGCGTAACATTCTAAGTCTGTCTGTCTGTGTGTCACCTGCTGACATTTCCAATGTCTGCTTTTTCACATTAGCTCTGCCATTTTTCGTAGCATACTTTGCTGCGCCCTCCGAGTGCGAGCTGCGCTCTGCGTGCTGCAGCAGCAAATGCGAAAGATTTGCTACGTGCTCGGTGCACAGCAAAAGATTGAATGTCGTGGCACTCGTCCAAGAAGGTACTGTAAAATGTGTAAAAGGCTTCGAGTCTCATGCTTAGTTGCGGATCTGTGCGCAGACACGGGCTTAGAGTTCGCGTGCGAGGATTTGGCATGAATAGATGGGCCTTCTGACTGGCTTTATAGTTTTTAAATTTTTAACTAAAAGACGACTTCATGCATACTAATTAATATATTCGCTTATGTTGCATATTCAAGCTGCTCCACAACTTCCCAAAGCAGCAGTTTATGAGATTTTGCTGGCCCGACTCGCCCATATGGCAGACACAATTTTTAATATGCAGCCAGGGAAAAGGCTTTGATGTTGTTTGACGTCGTTGTGGCATATTTGCTTATCCTTTTTGCCAGTGACACAGCAGGCGAGGCCACTCGACGCCCAACACATTCGGCTTAAAGTCGAGCCTTGCCCAGGCCCATCAGCTGCACTTTTTGTTTAATCGAAGCAGCTTTTAAAGTGCTTTTAATTAAAGCGCAGAGCTGAAAGTAGCTATAGCCTTTGTTTCAGATATAATATGTACATATCTATGTATAGCTGGGCACACATGCCTAGCTTCTGGTTTCACACGCACTTGGCAAGAATTTTCTTGCTACCCGGCCCGCTTCAAGCTGGTCGCATGAAAAGTGTGAACAATTTTATTGTGCGGAAAATTCGCTTGTGCTGTGCATGTGTCCATGTGCATGTGTGTGTGTGTATGTGTGTTTGCCAACCTTTCACATTCAGGCAAAAATACTTTTGCATATTTTTAAGTAAAAAAGTGCGCATGAAAAAACTAAGAACGCCGCGGCCAAGGTAACAATAAAAGGTCACCTTATTGTTGTTGCTGTTAGCAGCTTTTTTTAGCGCTGCTTTTTTTATTTTGTTCTTAATTTCCGCTTGGCCATTGTTTGTTTTAAACGCGTTCAGATATACTAGTTCAAAATGTGCAGAGCAGAGATTATATTGTGTTTTAAGGCAGAGAAACATGCTGTAAAGAATATATGGCTACGATTTTCTTACATCTTGACTAATCAAATCTTTAACTCTTATGATTGATTCATAATTGAAAAAATCGTTGTATATTTATTAATTTGGCGAATTCTAAGCTTTCAGTGCACTGTGAAGGAGGTATCACGCAGTCGGTTGCAGCCGTCTGCATGCTTATTGTTTTGTTTTCGTTCATAATTTGTGTATTTTTATGCTTACTTGGGCCTGTGATGTACATTTGGGCAAGGTTGTTGGCTAAAACTGTTGATTCAAATGTGCAAAGTCATGGCAAAACTGGGCTGTAAATTGCATACATGGGAAATGTCAACGGGTCGGCTTAAGCCAGCTGGGCTTAAACAAGCTAGCGCTACCTTTTATTTGGCATATTTTATGTAATGCAAATAACATGTGTCTTGCACATGTCAGGCTTTTAACAAAGCCAAGTTAAATAGAAACTCTCTTTTTTTGGCAGCTAATACCATGAAATTCTTTAATTCCCGCATTCGTTGGCATTCAAAGCGTTTTTCAATTGAGCGCCATTTGCACGTGCCCCGCCCGGCCAGGCCTGACAACTAAAGCCCCGCTCTCTTCCAAAAAAAAAAAATACACTCTCGCATGCAGCTAACCATGAAAAGCGTTGCATGCCACAATATGCATGCTGTAATGCATGTTGTATGTGTGTGTGCCAATGGTTAGAAAAAAGTGCCAAAAAAGTATAAATCTTAAATGTTCTGACATGTGTGTGTGTATGTGTGTGTGGGTTTTGTGAGTGCCAAATAAATTCGCGCGAATAAAATACACGAATGCCGAACTTTTGCTGTGAAAGACCGCCCGCAGCGCGGCAGCAGCAAAGCCAGAAATAAATAGGAAAATGTGTGTTTCAATCATTTGGGAGTTTGTTAGGGAAAATGCTGGGAAAAATGTAAGCGCTGGCATTGTTTTCTGTTGCTTAGCAGCTGCAGCAGCCACCGCAAATTACTTGTCAAGTGCTTTGCCAATTGACGTCGCCTGCCTGACAACCAGAAATACTAGTTCTATTCCATTCACTGCGCCGCACAGTAGGCAACATTTTTTATGCAATCAACATTTTTGCGCAAATATTTTATGTAAACTGCTGGAAAAAAGAAATGACAAAAGGTAAATCAGCAACTAAATGCAAAATGCGTTTGTTTAACACACTTGATTTATAAGCAGCTGCAAGTTGAACTCAAGATTGAAAGGGATTTTGAGATAACAATAAAAGTAAGTTGGCCCAATTTCTGATGAACAGCTTGACTTTGTCTGTCAGACGCCGATTTCGATCCTGGCTGACTGACAGTCTCTGACTGCGACTCCGCATAAAGCTTCAACTATGCGTAGCGCAGTAAATTTACATTGAAAAGCCAAAATCAAAAATT